TCTCCCTCTCCCTCTCTGTCCCTCCCCTGCTCGCACTCTGTCCTCTCTCTCTCTCTCTCTCTTGCTCAAAAATAAATAAACATTAAAACTTTTTTAGTAAAAAAGAAAAGAAAACCCAGTGTTATGATATCACAGCATACTCATAATTAGTTTTCATACCAGGAAGTACAGACCCTTACTGTCTTTATCAGCAAAAAGGCTTCTTATTCAAAATCAAGGAAATAATGTATAATTTGCTAGTATTGCAGACAGTTGGTGTTGAAACCAAAACATTTAATAGAACATTCAGGAATCACTAAAATAGTAGTAAGTAAATTAGAAAAAGTCCTTTCTAATTTGAAATATGTTCCTTACTAACCCTGTGCATGGATCTGCATGGTGTTCAGAAAACAGAATTAGATCACCTTGATTAATTCTATTTTGCCTTGTGGAAATCTGCTGTGTCATTGATTCTATAATCAGAAAGAAGAAAAATAAATCACTTTCATTTGTAGTCAGTGGGAAAACAATCTGCTGGAAAGGGGGAACTACTGGTCAGACTTAGGTCTGGCTCCATGTCAATCATACCCAGACACAGAATGGCCTTTTTGCAGATAGTGAACAAGAAGCTTCTGTGTGGATAACAGACAGAGATCTCCTTCTCATGCATGTACCTCAGTGCATGCGTGTGTTTGCATTAATCCTGACTTGATTGAATTACAAATCAAACTAATTGAAGTAAGTTCATTTAAAAAGAGAGTTTTCATTTTATTTTTATTGTTGTGAGTGGTATTTTTAATCTTCTTGAAAGGCACCCAAGAATAATTACCTTTGTGAACCAAAAATATACAAAACTGTACAGAATAAATAGTTCATAGAAATCTAGCTATACTTTCTTGTAAAATAAAGCTACATTGTCCCACTCCTGAGGCAACTTAAAACACTTACCCTTAGACGTGCCTTTTGCTACTAATTTATGGCAACTATCAGTTTACATCAATAAAGATTTTTAAAAACACAATTTTTCCTATTTGTTTTACACCTGTGAATTATTACTTGCCACAAGAAACATATTTCTATCATGGTCATTCAAATTTACAAAGGATTAATGCTATGAAAGAAACTAAACTTAATTTATGCACTAATCATATTTACAATTGAGTATCAGTAGCATTTTAAAAATATCCCAAGGAAAAAAAATGAACTTTGAGCACAAATGACATACCTTAGTTCACAGCAGCATTGACAATAAGATTGTCCACACAAAATGTGCAGAAAAACCAAAAAAGTTTGCCTATTTATCCACCTGAACTATTAATCACTCCTATTTTCAAATTCAGAAAGCATAGCAGTGGTATTTTTCTAACCCTCAAATGAAAACTTTGAAGTCTTGGGCTCCTCATAGCCTACTAATTCAACCTTCTATTTTTTTCTTTACTATTACTAGTGGTAATTTTGAAGTTCCAGTTCCTTTTGCCTTTATTTCAAGAAAATTAGGTGTATCTGACAATGTACATTTTTGTGGTATATACTGATTATATAAACAATATATTCCTTACATGTTATAATAGCTACATACACAGGTATAGCTTTTAAATGACAAAACCCAATTCTATTTCATCCACTGGTAAAGTAATTCAAGAAAATAAGGGTTGCTTAAAGACTCAACCCTCTTAGATGTGCAAGAGGACTCTTCTGAAACACTTTTAAGTATATGGAGAAATATTACTATAATCCTTGGATGATTTACATGCAAGGATTTATTTTATCGGGGGTAGGTAAAATTGCCCAAAGACAATGCAATGGCTTCTCCCAATGATCCCTGAGTTTCTTTTTCTTCTTTTTTTCCCATAGGATTACTGCTGTGCTTCAGTTCTGATTGATGACACACTCATGTAAGGCACTTATTTACAAGGATTGGACTTAAGACAGAATCACAGCATTTCTGCAAAAGCCCCAATCTCTCCATCTATGTTTGCTGCTCCAGAACTTCTAAGTAGTCAGGTTCAGCATGTAAGTTAGCTTTAAGCTCAAAATACTCATTTTTAGTCTGTTCCACTAATACCTTCCTGGGCCTTGAGTACATTAAAGTCTCCATTAATTTTAACTCTTCGTGGGCTCCAGGATAATGTACCTCCATGTCAGGCTGGAGTTGAGCAATGTTCTTCCTTAGGTATTCTGTGATTCCCAGTTGCTGAAGTTCTCTTTCTTTCTCTAAAATGTTCCTATATAATGAACTGGCATCCTGAAAAGATAAAAATTCAGTTGATTGGTCTGTGGTTTTGTATTTCATATTTGACCCTGTGAGTGGTGAATGATTTTCCCGTTCTAAAAGACTTCTTTGGAGATGTTTCACATCACTTCCATCTTTTTCATTCCTTTCTTCTTCATCTTCCAAATGCTTTGGGCCAAAGGATGGACTTCTATAGACATGAACCATGGGACTCACCATGTGCTGCTCATAGAGTGATGCAGTGGGTCTCTCAGTAGTGTGGTGAGTTGTTTTATGGCCATACATACTATACTGGAGATGGACTGGACTGTTGTCTCTCATCTGCTCATCAGCTTGTTTCTTTTTGTATCTTCTCCTGCGGTGGAGAACAAGAACCACTATCCCTGCAGCACAGAACACAATGGTTATGAACACAATCAGCAGTCCTAGTATTAGAACAGAGAGTGGTACAGCATCAGTAAGTGATCTCAAAATAGTATCGGCTGTAGTTGTGGTTGCAGGGGTACTGACAATTATGTAACTAGTTTGAGTTGGCAGGGATGGGTTATTGACTAAACCAGGGCAAAGAAGTTCACTAGTTAGTGCTTTTAATTCCTTTTTGTCCAGGTGCTCTGGAGAAGTGCAGAGGATGTCATCTGTTACTGTGTTCTTACTTAGTTTTTGTAGCCATTGTTGCAATCCAACCAGGTCACAGGAGCAATCCCAGGGATTGTCCTCAAGGTCAATCTGAGTCAATAAGTCAAGGTCATCCAAGATATTACTTACAGGGAGATGGGTAAACTGGTTTGTTTTCAGGTTTATCCTTGTTAGGGAAACCCCTGAAAAAATATGTGGTGGTAAAACTTGCAGGAGGTTGTTATTTAAATAGAGGACTTTAAGTTTAGGCATTGGGTTAAAGGTCCCTGGCAATATTTCCTTAACTGCATTGTATTCAAGATATAAGTATTCAAGATTGTGGAGACCAAGGAACATGCCTCTACTTAATTTGGTCAGGTGGTTACCATTTAGATAGAGCTTTTGCAATCTTGTCAGATTCATAAATGAGCCTTCCTCAAGAACCTCAATACGATTATTTCCCAAGTGAAGCATTTCCAAAGTGAAGTATTCCACTAGATCAGACTTCATTAATGTATGGATAATATTCCCTGCTAGCACAAGCTTTCTGGGATTTTGTGGAGGAGGTTTTAGATCTGATAAGCTTTCAATATTGCGCTCCTGACAGTGTACTAGAAGTCCTGATGGGGATAGTACTTTGCAGTTACAGGGAATAGGACAGTAGGGTCCTGGGAGTTGAGTGAATGGCTTTGTAATATAGGGTATCAAAACTGGTGCTTTGGTGGTTGGTTTTGAAAGAGGTGTGGTTTTGGTTGACACGTGACTTTCACTCATTGAAGAAGTTGCTGCCAGATGCAACGATCCTGATGGATCCTCGTGTTCTTCATACAGTGGTGGGGTGGGGCAAATTGATTCCTTTTTCAGTCTGCTTAGTATACTTCCTTTGAAAAATGGAGGGCTGTTGCAGATGACATCACCAATTACAGACTGTGGAGGCATGTTTTCCAACCAAATTTTTAGCTCTAATAAGTCACAATTACAGGTCCACTTATTGTCCTCCAATTGGAGGTCCAATATCCGGCCAATGTGTTCTAAAAAGCCAACATAAGGCAATGTTTGCAACTGATTTCCACGAAGATCTAGATGGGTTAAAGGAACGAACCGAAATATGTTTGGAGGAAGACTCTCAATGGCATTGTCATTTAAAATTAACACTTTAAGTCTGTTAAGCTTGCTAAAGGCACTTGGTTCAATCACTGTAATGAAATTGTTATCTGCTTGGAGGAATTCCAGGTTTTCCAGTCCATGGAAGGTATCCTCTTTGAGAATTTCTAATGAATTGTGATTGATATGAAGTTGCTTAAGAAGGCCAAGGCCATTAAATGCACCAGACTCAATATCTGCAATATTGTTAAATCCAAGGTGTATTGAGATAGCATTGGTAAGCCCAGAAAAGTCATTTGTGTGAAGCATTGTCAAGCCATTATTTAATAAACTTAGGTGGAAAGGTCGTGATGGTGGTACACTTATTTGGGATAACTTCTTGATACCTTTTTCTTCACAATTTATTAGCATTGTGCCATCTTTTTCCTCACAATTGCAAAGAGAATCACAAGAACCTCTGGTCGAGGACATTGGAGTTTGGGACTGTGAAGATATGCAGGCAAGGAGAGATGAATATAAGAGATGAATCCACAGCTTCATGTTGTCGTGTGATGAAATCTGATTCTGTAAAACAAAATGCAATAGCAATGCACTTTAGTGGGCAGAGGGAGGGAGGAGATGAACCTCACAATCACAAAATAGAAGGTTTTCCTCCAAAAGGAAAAAAAAAATATTACTCTGAAACTATGAATACCTTCTGCAGCTACATTTTCTTTTATTTTTTTTCTAATACTATGACAAGCATGTTTTGCTTTACTTTGAACTTGCCCTGTGATAAAAATACAAAATTTAGGTCAAGGAGAATTTTAAATTTTATATCATCAGTGGTATTCACATTTGCCAAATAAACTGCATTTTAATAGACGAGAGAGGTGCTGCTTAATTGGGCCATCAGTACTTTGATATGATGTAAAGGTGTGTATTTGAGAAGATGCTGAT